TACCTTTATTGTGTACCTGTGAGGGCAGATTTTGGTGGTACTATCTTAATACTGTGATCATAATTATTTACCCAAAATGTAATGAATAAATGATTTTGATTGAGTGTCAGGATACATCATTGTATGTTGAGAGATGATGCCTAATTTGTTAATCGTTTTGTTGCTTAAAATTTCAAATATGTACACAACCCAGTTTTTAGTGTTTTAATCGAGTTTGTTACCTTGATATATTACTTGAGAGGGTTCATGCTGGATCTTATGAATACTCTCCTTATTTTTAGCAACACCGATGTCCACGTATTGAACCGCTAGTGTTACTTATGTTAGCTGACTCGCGAGAAGTAAAACGTTACTTCTTTACCAGTAAACGTACTGGTAGGCAATGTTTTACATACTGACGACTAGTGACGACATGAGTACCATGTTTATTGCGTGATAAAAAATTGAAGTAAGTTTTTCCGATGATCAATGATGATGCTGATTCGGTGATAATGTGAAAATTTACAGGATTCCATCAAAAAAAAAATAATATTTAGGATGAACTAAAAGTCATAGTCAGGTGTGTCCGAGCGGATACAGAATGTCTTGACAAGATCAACTCAGACATTTGTAGCCCGTATATTGTGGTGAAGTCTACAGCGCCAAGTGTTACGACTGCTAATAGCAGGCAGACCCGTGTGAACACGCGACACAGACTGTGGCGGAGTTCATAGTGCTATGTGGATAGCATATAATTATAGAAATGTGTGCTATCTTCTTTGAGAATTACCTTCCCACACAATATGATACGCTAACATTGTGTGATATCTGATGTGTATTGTGTGTGTAATGTGCGTTTGAATAATATGCTAACGTAGGTATTAATTATGTTACACATGTGTTTGAGACTCATGATACGCTAACGTAGTGCCTATGTCATGTAGTCGTTATAGCAGAGATAGCTAACGTAGTGCTTCCTCTCTGAGTATGTTTTATGATCTTGAACTATGCTAACGTCGTGCCTATGGTTCACTATTGATTGTGTTTTTTCCTGTGTTCGTGACTCATGATACGCTAACGTCGTGCCTATGTCATGTAGTCGTTATACTTATAGCAGAGATAGCTAACGTAGTGCTTCCTCTCTGAGTATGTTTTATGATTGTGAGCTACGCTAACGTCGTGCCTCTAGTTCACTATTGATTACTTTACTGTGTTGGTGACATAAGATATGCTAACGTCGTGCCTGTCATGTAGTTGTTATAGTAGAGATAGCTAACGTAGTGCTTCCTCTCTGACTATATTTTGAATTATTATGGATCAATGTGTACATGTAGTTGTTTGTGTTGGTAACCAACGACAACCCGATACAATTTTTATAATTTCAGGTGCAGAAGGTATTGAACTTACACGTCACGTTTTTGGTAATTGATAAGATTAACGATTTAATATGGGTCGATGTGTCTTCGGAAAAAACCGGTGTCCCGACCCAATCCTTATGTTCTCAAGTGATGATTATGTTGTTTCCATGGATCATGTGATACGGTAATAATAATATGATGCCTATCATGTGGTCCACATTAACCGGATAGCTAATGTTGTGCCTCCTCTCTGGCTATTTTTTTGTGACCTGCGCTAACGATTTAATATGGATCGATGTGACCGCCGGTAACCACCGTCGTCCCGATCCAATTATTATGTTCTCAGATGCAAACAGTATAGAGTTCACAGCTGAACAAGCTGCCAGAAGCCGCGGTGATGTCCCTGCTACGGAGCGTGTGCTGTAAATATGCGACAGTGCGACACAGGAGCACGAGGACGTGCTCCAGTCAGGAGAGGCCGTGTTAGAAGCATAGACAAAAAGGAACGAAATGTCATCGCGTAGCGGGAAAATATAATCTGTGGTTCGAACAATGAAAAAGTCAAGATGGCGGGAACTCGGAAATTATTGAGACGGTGTATTTGGTGTTGAGGGAATTTTATTCTATTTGAAAGTCAATTTGCCTATTCATGTGTTATTGTTGTTGTTTTTCATTTCAATTATGGTATGGTTTAGCTAGTTCTGAATTTGTAATTTGATTTCGATGTTAACAATATATAAGGTGAATTCATGAATTGTAATGGTGGTACTCTTTATTTCTCCTGCCTCCTAAGTTTCTAAAATCCAATGTGGTATAAAACAAATAAGTTACTAATATCAAAGAGTAAGGTGAACTCTATGACAGTTTTTAAGTTTTCTAATACTATATTATCTATGCATGCAATCTATCAGTCTCCTACAATCTCAAATTGATCGTGGGTATGGTTGAACTTATACCTAGTTGGAATGTTGGAAACTTAGACCCAGAAGAAAATTTAGTATTTTACCTGAACTAGCGTTTATATGAACTGATTAAACTCTGTTGGACTATTAATGTTTGGTTAGATTCCAAAAATATCTTGTTTGCGATATGATTTCATTACGAGATAATTTTAGTTTTTGGTTAATTAAAATCTATGTTTACGAAATGGCCCCATTTATATCGATGTAAATGTTTATGTACTTAGGTGTAAATACATTGCAATATAAGAATAAATATAATGCTATCTATCTATCTAGGAACAGGATACCAAGCTATTATCGATACCGACATTGATAGGAACTTAAGCTGTAATGCTACAAAAAATATTTGTGCATAAACGTTTATCATCATTATTTTATTCATAAGCGAAAGCCTCAAATAGCTTTGAATAAACCAAAATATTACTTAGCTCAACAGACAACAAGTCCATACAAAATTACATAACGAAATATTATAAACAAAGCTTCAATGTAAACAGAAAGGTCACTGACACCTACATAAATACAGGCTGTTGTTGAAACACAAGTATTTTTTGTAGGTACATTATCGCATTTTTTTAATGTGATAAACTAGCATTGGCTCGTGAAAGCACTTTCCTGTTTTTTGGATCTTTAAAAAATACCAAAATCAATGTTTCTTTCAAGACATAACACATAATGATACACACAAAATTATGTAACTTATGCATTCTGGGATTTATGAATATTTTGGGGCTCTTATAAATAATCTTCCCAATTTTCTCAAAGAATATCGGGTCTTTTTTTTAAGGGGGAAAATCATCAATTGATTTCTCCCGCCTGGGTGAGGCGGAAGGGGGTGTCAGAATCTTACTGACTAAAAACCAACCCGTTCCTACTCCTGCACTTCGAACCGAAGCCCCGGTAACCCGTTAAGTTCTCCGCGGCTCCGAATCGGCATCAGCCTTATTGGACCCCATCCGTGGTGGTCTGATGGCTATTTGATGCCACTCATGCTCGCCGTCCGCAGGTCCGCACTTACGGTGGCCGGAGATCGTCTCGCGATCCCCGACGCCCAGGGTGTCTTTCGCGACGGCTTGGTTGTGAGGAGGCAGCGCTTCGCTGCCTCATGCGCCCCGCCTCCTCTTTAACTAGCATGACTGCTTCGCAAAAGGAAGAGACGGTATCCCAGTCCCCCTCGCTCTGAATCATGGCCCGCACTAGGGCCGGACGCGAGAGGTCGAAGAAATTCGGGTCTACGTAGTAAGTTACAGTTTTTTACGACCAGTAATTTCGACTGCGCATTTTCTATCAGTCACTAAATTCACAGAAAATATTAATTTATATAAAAGTATATTGTAATTTAATATCACCGGTGAGTTTCCGTTAACAAGTAGATAACACGTTCAGGTCACTCCAATACTTAATGATAAAACTGTAGAGCTATTAATATCCCAATGACTATGTAATATAATCACGCGTTTCAGTTTGTCCATTCACAAAATGATGAATAAAAATTACGAGTTGCATCATTTTGGCTATTTTTTAAATCTTGTGAATACGGTCTCACGACCGTACACGACACGTTGTCACCAACGTGAGACCTATGTTATGACTAAGATTTTGCATTCTCAAAGTTGTTCATCATATGTAGTATGTCACATATTTTTGTATGTTTTTGTAGTTCATGTCTTTTTATGTCAATAGACTCGCCTTTTGTGATATGGCATTTAGCCATATTTATTTAGTCAGATACGGTTAGTAGCATATTTATACGAATTTGTTAATAAAAATTACTGAAATACTTGTGAAATATGTTAATGTTTTTCGGCCTCGATTTTTGGCAGAAATTCTAGAACCCATGGCAAAAATCGACCTTAATGTGACTGTTATTGAAATCGGCAATAAGTCATACATATATCAGAAACAACCTGTATAACACATTATTGTTGGGGTAACATCTCAATATATTGTCAGACAATATTATAAGAAAGAAATACTTCAAAAATTTTCGTCACAGACTAACATTGGATATGAAAAGAGGTGACAGTTTAGCTACCTCACACCATACGGCCTACAGTCTCTCCGTCTCATGATAAAAACAAAATCATCTGCTTATCACACGACCAACATTCTGAACGAATAGAGATGACTAGAGTAGTCATCTCAATCGCCGTTATAAGTACTAGTCATCTAAGTCAGCACTTTATTGCTAATAGGTCTCCGTTCAGTGCGTACAGGCTCCCTGTGCTAGGCAATCAAAAATCCCACTAGGGAACATACCAGTACAGAGTCAAAACAGGTAAGTGTCACATTAATTAAAACTTAAAACACACTGCCACTTTAAAATTGACTTTATCATTATTTATTTAACGCTCATTTTTTGTTAATACCCAAGCAAGCACCGATCACGCGCTTTCAGATTATTTATTTATGCGCCGCGTGATGGCTGCAGGTTCACAGTTGATCCAGTATCATCTTATTGATATTGATAACTCATTTATGTTCCGTGACACTACTTACCAACCTCTAGTTGTCATTTAGAGTTCGTTAGAGCTCCTTGACCATCTGTTACTTTCATATTTATTTTAGAAATAACATGTGTTAATTTAATTTTCATAATTTTGCCGCAACTTCTATTAAAATAAATAGCATATTTCTAAATTAATAAAACCTCGTTTCTGGGTTCGTATTTAATAAAAAAAGATAAAAGTTTAATTCAAAGATGGAATTTCTGTCGCGCAAAGTAAAGTCACACGGACAAATTGACGCACGTCAAGTGAATGGCGCGGTGGATACTTCAGGAAAAATTAAAAAACGGTAAGCATTGGTCAGCAATATAACATAGGAAAATAATTCGATGTCAGTATACAAGTAAATGAATAAAAATTTAGGAAAAGTAGCGGTAAACAGAACATTTAACTATGAAATCTCGTGAGTATGTCGTTACGTGTGTTTTGTATCAAATCATTTACTGTTTCAATAACTTTTATCTTTCCCATTTACGGAAGAACTAGTGGTTTTCAATACTTCATGATTTGTTTTTTTATTTATTTTAATTTTTTTAGTACTAACCACTTTTGTCCGGACCGCGGACAACTTCCTGACCGTGCACAGTGCGAAACTTTTGGATCGTCTCCGTATACTAGAAAAGTAACCTTCTTTTATCAGAATATTTTTATTTGATCACAGTACCTGCAGCGTAAAATTAGAATTTGTTGGATTAATATATTTTTTTGTAATCGCACTAGACTAGAGGAATATAGGTACTATAGAGAAAAGACGAATATAAGACAAAATTATTATCTACGATGAATTAAGACTACATTAATATACAACTCTATTAATTGTGTAGGGCATTGTAACGCATGTTTTACGTTACTCACTTAAGAAAAATATTATTATACGTTCATGCGCCTGTAAGTATCTCGCGAGCAACACGCGAACGGCGCATTCGGTAGATGTGAATATACCATTAAACAAACATCGTATATATCCCATTTTCATCTTAAACCATTTAAACTAAAATATATATTTGAAAAGCATCCCAAAGAAACACTTTCTGAAAGTAATAATTATTGTTAGAAGTCATTGAAAAAGTTGTGTATATTCATTATATTTTACTTAATTATACTTATTAAGCAAAGGAATTTGTTTTCAGATAGTGTTTCGTAATGAGCAGCTGTCCTTGTAACGTGGGCGATCGACGATGTCCCGCTATTCGTAGGTAGGCCGTAGAGCTTCGTAGCAATGTTGTAGCCTCGTAGGCCTCGTAGCAAGCTGCGTAGCCCGCACCTGTGACGTAGGCATGCTTTAAGATAAAATAAAGAACTTAGATTACCCAGTTGTGTAATGAACATAGTGTACAAGTTTCTAGTATTTGTTAGTATAAAATAATAGTGAATCATCACTAACACAAAACTAGGTTTTGTAGTTCGTACTAAAATATCCTTTTCTGTTAAATTTCTCTATTACATCTTGAACTGTATTATTTTGACATAAAGTAAAAAAATCCAACGAATAAATTTGACAGATTTAAGTAGGTTGATCTATTGATCGAAATCGAAACATTATTTCAGTACTCTGGTAACAACTGATCAAATCACAGAACGTATAAAGAAGGTTTATATTTTCTGTGGATTAAACTCGATGTATGGGACTGATTCCAAAATTCTGATTACATTGAATATTGCATTATTGGTTTGTATCCGGTATAAAACTAAAGGTATAAAGATGTATCACTTCCTATTATTCGAATTCAAATAGGCACTATGTACGTAGTCTAAGGATATTTTAATTCTATAGACTATAAGCCAGTAAGGGCCGATTTTTTCGTAAATTTTAACTGAGGGATAACTTTAAATATTTGACAATTTTTCAATAAAATGTTAATTTTATTGCACAGTTAAGAATTAACTTATGATTCAAAAATCGTTTTATACAGAATATAAGTAAACCTTGTCTAAAAACTAGTACATACATTTATAAAATGATCCAAAAACCAAAAATATTCATAACTAAATAAAGTGGGACATTTACCAGTTAAAAGCCGCGTCCACCTCGCTCGACTATTATAGTTTTAATAAATAATAGAATAATAGGTTACTACTAAGTACCTACTATCTTCACGACTTCTAGGTAAAAATAAAAGTATGTAGGTAGGAGTGCAACCGCAGTTTCCTGAGATAGTAACAAACGGTGTCACTGACCCCAATCACAATTATTTTACGTGTGGCTAATTTACGCACTGATAAATGTGTAGGTACGTTGTTATCGTTATTAAAAAATACTAGCTTTTTAGCCCTGGCGTTGCCTGCGGTCATAGTAAAAAAAATGCCTATATTTCCTTAAGTAAAGTTATAGTATATGTGATACGAATTACTATACAGCCTCAAATATCATACAGTAAAACTCGATCCGATTCTAAGTGAACGAAATAAATTCAAACACACTTTTGCATTTGTATTATTATTATAGACAACATCAAGTTGGCTTCTAAAAATTTTCTAGGTAATTTGATAATGGGCTCTATTTTAATATATTATTTTAATTAAACGCTACGTAAGAAAAGAATAAACAACATTACCTATACCTACATATTCCCACGCTACGGTTCAAGGACCAGCGCCATCTGTTATCAAGCGGAAGAGACCGCACTGCGGTTCAGTACGTTATCGCTGAAACATTTTCCTGCTTTCCCAGGAGCGAAACCGCGATGAGTCCAGCGCCCCCCGCCCAGCGAGACAAAACAAGCGCTACGCATGGCGCCGTCAAGCAGTCGTACGCGACAAGCGTAGGGAAGTGTACGTACGAGATGGAACGCGATCGTATTGGAATATGGGGCTGCGGCGACTCCACGTCCGCCAACAAAGTCTCCGGCCTCGACCGCCTCAGGCACCCTGGACTCAACAAGGTATGTGCTCATTTAACTATCCTTTAAAATTTAATGTCCGCGAATTTTCAGTTAGGTCATGGTTGTAACTTGGCGGAAGTGTTCTGTTCTTACGGTTACGGCAAACCATATAATCTGAGTGCATCAGTCTAGTTCTGATTATAGTTAAGGTGTCAATGTCGGTGTCACCTCACATCCGCCGTGCAATTGTCATGCAAATGTTTGTTTTGAACTTTACACCCGGCGTCAAAGTTCACGTGGTCGGGTTATGTCAACAAACTTACGGGAACAAAACATCGTTGCTTACAATGTAATATTTCGGTGGAAATGTTGAAAAAGTACTTCGCTAATTTCAATAAATGAATGTGTGATGAAATAGAGTTGCAAACACGTAGTCATTATGAATAATCGTTGTGATTTGTAAGCATCGAATAAACAGTTTATTCCTAAGCGGCTTACAAACAAATCACACGTTAATAAGACAATTAATAATATTACTTACGTTTGAGTTACATAAGGAAGTATGTTATACAATTGATAGATAAGTCCTTGTTTTCATAGTTAGGTAATATAATATAGTACAAGTTGTAATAAGGAAATATTTCGCCATGACATTGGCATATTTCCGGCTCAATATTGCAGATTTGATTATGTGGTATATTCTGTTTGCCTTGATATCAATAAACTATTAATGTGAAGAGCACGAGTTGTAAATAAAACACGTACTTTTCCATACATAAGAACATAAGTAACGGTGACTTGAAAACAAAATAAGTACCTTATTTTTATTCATTGTTATGATGGCACTCGCTCTGTAATCGTACTGAAATCAAAACCAAACATTACGCATGTGTGCCAACAACACGCCTACGTTTTATTTTTATATCATCAGATGTGCATCATAATTCAGATAAACATTATCTTATCGCCTTAGAAACATATTTGGCAAACATTTCTTTTCAAAACTGAAACATATAATACTCAAAACAAGATTTAAAATTCAATGACGTGATTTTAACGTGTCTGATGATCGCACAAGACTCATTAGTATAAAATCAATTACTTAATTCGATTGTGTTAATGCAAATAAACCCTTATTATCATATGTTAAGTCTCAATACACAATACACGTTTCGTTTTTACTTTTTACTCACAGAGGGACTCAGGAACAATATAGATCTGCGTTGTACCTCGCTCCTAAGCGAATGAGGGTGTGTTAGAGTTGGTTATTCACTTCTATAGAACTTTAGAGCGCCCCAGACGCTATTAATGCTCTTTAGCAGGGGTCACTGATTCGTCTAAAAGGGTGGCTTTCTCTAAAATGTTTTAAACCGATAGGTGTGTGTTTTACTAGCATTTCCTACTATGCAAAAAAGCTTATAACAGTTTTCTGTAGAAGCAAGATGGGATTGACATCGTCACAAAATGTGTACAAAAATCCCTTACAATAAATGAGATTAAAAAAAAAACAATTTTCAGAACGATTTTTTTCTTTGGATAATTTATCAAATCCAGTACACTTATTTAGGTATAAATTGCGTGAAAATACTAGAAAATATAGTCCTTATTTGAGCAATAATTAATTTAATAATAATAAATTTTAGTTATGAATATAATATCGTTATAGTGGAATTAATTCTTGAAATACGAAGGGTCTGAAATAATCTGAATAGTTGTCGTGGTTTTCAGTGGATAACAAACCAGGTGCTTTGAAAATGGTTGCCATAGTAACCACGTAATAGTTATTGATTGAAATTCTGTGTCTAATAATAGGAATGAAGTATAGTTGGAGATATTAGAGACTTCATGTATATATATTTTTTGGGAATGGGAAAACCTTTAAAAGATTACTAGTTTTTTGGGAGAAAGACTAAGGATTGTGATGTGATTCTTAGCTTATTAAAACCTCCGTGGTGGTCACTATAAAGGACCAAATAGCCCCAAAAAATTATTTCATTTCATTTATTATTCACTTATAGCATACAATGATACAAATGTCCTTACCGGCTAGACATAATGCGATAATGCAGCATACTTGAAATACATGAACAAGATTTACACAATATAATATATATAATAACTTCTACTGCTTTTACTATGCATAGCTGCTCGTGTAAATTCACCTAAAAAGCAACATTTTATGTATGTCTGTCTACGTCATAGATATGATACCCAACTATACTATAATATTGGTTAGTCAAGATTTTGGTACAAAACATATCGATATGAATGAGCATATTACTCATTACTTCTGCAATTCTTGTTGAATCGTTCGTATTTCAAAAACATGACCTTTACAATTTATTAGAGCCTATGTGTGGAAATATACAATTGTAAACTAGTTTTTTTTAACTATGTATATTGCAAGTCATACATGACTATTGAAAAGGTGATAAAACGTTGCTAATTTATAACTCTAACATGTTTACCGTGACTGTTTTATTTTATGTTCAAATAATATGGACCTAAGCGCCATGATTATAAGAGTTAAAATATTTCCGGAATGATGTGAAAAATTTAATGACTCCTATTTTTAATCCCCAAAGAAGTCAAATGACATGGAATGTAGTACCTAGGTACGGTCATACTATAATATTTTATTTAAAAATATTTCCACCCACTAGGTTTATGTCCAGTGTTGTGGTTGCATTTACAAAAGTATAATTTCATATACTCATTATCATGTCCAGAGCCAGACAACACTGTTACGCAAAGAATTGTTCCGTGGAATCGATCCTCGACACAATGCACAGTATAATATTAAAATCGCTCTAAGCATTGTTTTAGTAACTTACTGACACATTCTAGAATACGAGCTGGGCACTATACACCATAAGACCAATCGATTAAGTACTTTTATCCACTATAAGGAGACCTGTGACTGTACCTACTTAGCCTTAATACATACTAGCTTCTGCCCGCGACTTCGTACGCGCAATCCCGTTCTTTTCCGTTCCCGTTCGTGATTTTCGGTAAAAAGTAAAAAAAAAATTCGATGATAAAGTATCCTATGTCCGTCTCCTGGTTCTAATCTACCTCCCCACCAATTTTCATCCAAATCGATGTAGCCGTTCTTGAGTTATAAGTAGTGTAACTAACACAACTTTCTTTTATATACATATATAGATTACATATCACACAGGTCTCCGATCTAGAAATGTCCTAGAACTTCAACTCCATTTCATTACTGTTACTATGAAGAATTCTATTTAATATTAAAATATATCTAATTGCATAAAAAAGTATGTTAATTAAATTACATTCTCAGTATTCTAATGTAGAATCTGAATTCTGAATACTATTTAAATACGACTCGTGTACGTTGCAATTAAAATTTCTAATTAATACTGAATTTCTCTGGTAATTAAGGTTAGTTTCTAAATGCAGTAATAAGTCTAGATTTTAGAGTCATTTTGAATTAGATTTCGTCGTAAGAATTATTTTTTATTTGAGTTATTGATGTCGAAATAGTTAAATGTTACTCAAGTTTTAGTCGCGCTTAGTGACACAACTATTCTTATAGTTGTGTCACTACAATTTTTTTCTAAAATGACAAAGATGGCTCGATATTCATATTCATTTAATGATGCTATGATGTTTGAGTACAATTTAATAGCGTCATCAGTTGTTTCTTGAATTAATTAGAAATGATGGCTTACGCACGTGAACTATTTGAACGCTCGCAGCGGGACGTGAGAAGTATTCCAAAAACTGTATTAAAAGCTATTCAGAAATTATCAAAAACTAGCTTCAGCCCGCGACTTCGTACGCGCAATCCCGTTCTTTCCTGTTCCCGTTCGTAATTTGCGGTAAAAAATAAAAAAAAAATTGATGAAAAAGTATCCTATGTCCGTCTCCTGGTTCTAATCTACCTCCGATTTGGATGACCACATCCAGATCGATGTAGCCGTTCTTGAGTTATATATAAGTAGTGTAACTAACACAACTTTCTTTTATATATATAGATTATTACAAACTTGATAAAACGCTAACATAAATTGCATATAACATTAATAATTCGTTCCGTCACAATTACAAACCAAATACAAATAATTAACTCAAGTTATTCTCTCTAAATTATTTCGTAAACTTAAACACAAAATGAGAGGTTAATCGTCGTCTATGAAGTTTAAGCTAACGGAAACTTAACCCACAATTAATAGTTAACAATAATCCCTTGTAACAAGCGAAGGTTTGTTCCTAATCTGTATAACTTAACCTTTAGTCTATTAAGTTTATAAAGTAAGTTACCAAGTTATGTAAATGATGCCTCTGATGATTCAGGTGTGCTTAGGCTATGGTTACTGATTTACCAGGGTAGGGAGTCGCTGGATACAGGTCGCTTCCAATCGGCCTCTCTGGAAGTCAATAGGAAAAGGCCTATGTTCAGCAGTGGACGTCCTATGGCTGATATGATGATGATGATTAACCGATTTACTATTAAGGGTACCGTAAGCTTAGTTGCTACGGATAGCAGTTTCAAGAAATTAACTCTCTATTATATTAGACTCAAAACGTAGTTTTCAAAAATTAATGTTAAGTAATTGTTACATTTCATGTTTTCACTTCTGTCTACCCCTTTGGATAATAAGAGACATAAGTACTACAATGTATGCTATATGGGGAATAGTAGTATTCCGCAGTTCATGGTAACAATAACTATATAGAATGGACTAACGACTAAAATATTGATTCTTTGCTTGCTTACCTAACCAGAGACGATGCCAATACAATTTTCTATATCTAGCACACGTAACGTCTCGTATAATATAACATGTCTGCAAAACGTCTGAAATTATTTTTTGCACTCATAAAATGCTGCACACATCAAAATGTCGTTTACCATTAATATAGACTGTCATAATTTTCATTAAACTACGTTTGAAAAACTGCATTTTTACACTTTTCTAAACACTGCATTAAAATCGGTTCAGACTCAGAACCGCCTTCTTTTTTGGGATTGATTAATTTATTACATTTATTACTATTTCTTGAAGAAAAGATTGTGCATTATGCAAGCA